GCGTTGTAAACCTGTTATGCACTGATGCGATTTATTTGATGGAAGTATTAAGCTTAAACTAAAGTCTTCACAAACACTTACATAACATTACTTGCTGCGAAGTTTAATGACATTTTCTGGCGAATCATGAAGTCTTGAAATTCTGATTTTTAAGTATTGAAATTGTATTGTATCTTGTATTGATTTTTGAATTCTTGAATTGTATCTCGTATTTCTTGAATTGTATCTTGTATTGATTTTTCGCGCAGCTGACGTCATCTTTAGAACGGAACAAAAGCACATCTTCGAATGAGAATAATTTTCCCGCAAAAGCGGACATTAGCACCTGACTAAAGAATTAAAAAGCAAGAAAGCAAAACACCTGCTTCTTATTTTCCCTGAGAGGCGCACTTCTCTTTCCAAATGTGTTTTATGTCAAGACAACTTTTTTCCACGAGCGATTTTCTATTTGGAAACTAAAGTCACTATCTTACTGCCTGAGTTCGCGCTGAAGTCAGATTTAAATAGTGAAGTTTGCATGCTGACTACGAAATTCTCTTTGGAACATTTGTTGATAGAAAACTTTCTTGGCAAACCATAGTAATATGCCTGGTGGGTATAGAAAAAAATAGCCGCTCGTGGTTTCTTTTGTGTATAAGAAGAATCAAAACTCACTTTCTCAATAGTTTTTCTAATCAATTTAGCGTTTAATATATAGTTTCCAACGTATTTAGAGTCTATATATTCTCTTTTCAATTATTACTACGATTTACTGTAAAATTGCTTGCTAAAATTCTAAAAAAAGAGCTGGAATGCAGGGCATTTGCTGTGACTACCACTACAGTTGTATCTTTGCCAGTATTAATATCGATTATACCTAGCTTTGAATGGGGGTAAGTTTTGTTATATACCTTATTATAGTAAATTGGAAATAATTGTAAGCTGCAACCAATTTAGCGCGCAGCCAGGGCACCAATGCCGATAGTTACTTTCTACTTCACAGTGGGCTACAAATAAAATGTGAGGTACAAATTTCCTTAAATATCATAAGTGGTTTTTAAACGTTCATATTTTGATTTTAACGGTCAGGACGTTTCTAACATTATTCCATGGTGCCCAACTTGCAATTTTAATGTTCTAAAAGCTGCTGGTTTATGAACAGAGCAAACCCCATGATCAACTCTTGGAGTGGACTCACACTCACTCACCTAAAGTAAATGACAGTTTTTCTATCTATGCTCGAACTCAGTTGGAAATCTCGACGGCACCATTTTCCGTTTAGAAGAATCGGTTTTCATGCATAATTATTTTTTTGAGAGAGCTGAGAGACCATTAAAAAGAAGCTCGCTCGACCAGGTTCATATTGTGGCGTATGATCAGAAATTAGACCATGTGTGGCGTGCGCCTGTACATCGCGCCGCGGAAAACATTCTCGAAGTCGCTGCAAAACGTGCAATTGTAAATAAATAATATTCAACTGCTTCAAATAATGAGATGAAATTAAACATCTTCACAGTTTTACCGCAGAAATAATCGGCTCTGTTTGCCACCCAAATGCAGTGATAAGTAATAATCAATTTAAAATATGACACGCCTTACGTGTATATTAATGATTCGTTGAAGTCGTAAAAGTTTACATTAAAAAAAATCGAACTGACGAACTTTTCGTTAATGAATAAATTTTTGGATCTGCATTGCAACTATAAAATATTAGGCCTTATTGCTCATGAAACCATTGTGATTTAATTTAAATCAGTTAATAACACATTTAATAATATTCACCGAAATTGTGATATACCAACACTGAAAACCCTACACTTAATTCAGATTAAAGAACAGTGCCCCTATATTAACTTGGTCATATGAACACAGACTATCCTATTTTTGTCAGTTTTACGATCCGCTGGAATTTAAAAACAAGCAAGATGCAGTCGTATCTTACGTTCAAAATAATGTTGTATGGAAGCTTGCCAATCACGACAGTGCGGTCTGCTTTGTCATCACGCGTTATGACTGTTATCCTAACTTACTGTCACAATATTCCTTAATATCAATTAAACACCGTGATAAGTAACTTTCCGCGGCATTGAACTGCTTGCCTCGCTGGTCAAACCTCAAATATGATGAAATGGTAATCCTATGGCTCATATTTTTTTCAAGCCAGAGCAAGCATGGCGTATTACTAATCCAGAGGAATACATGTAAGCATTCTGAAAATGTTTTTGTGTCGCCAAAATAAGAGCTCGTCAATACGTGGCAAGTGTGCGGTTATATTGATCAGCAGTTGGCGGAGGGGTGAGCGGAGCAACTGTGTTGCCGGTAAACCAGATACATTTGTATCAGATATGGTACAAAATGTGCGCGTGTCCAGGATGAGAGACATCTTCAAGGATTTGCAAGATACTTTAGAAATCCATTTCAATTGTACTTTGTGTCATATTTGAGTCATGTTAGAATCTTCAATCGCAAATAATCGAACTAATTTCGTAATAAGTGATTATAATATATGACGGGTTGCTCAACACAGGTTCTCTTGCGCTCAGTCTCGTTTTTCATTAAAACATTTTTTTTCTTACTGAGTGAAATTTGAGAGAATGATGAGAGTATATTCAATTATCCAGCAAATATTATTTGTCCGACGATTCAATTAAAATATCACTATCAAATTTTGATGCTTCATTGCTTAAGCTCACAGAAGAAAAAACAAGCATAAGGATACGAACGAATCATTGAAAAACATTTTTTAATTTCTTCAAGTAGTATGGATGCTGGGAAGTTTTTTTTTCGGTTGGCTCTTGCGTGGGATAAACAGAGGCTTGCCTCCCATACCTAGTCATTTGAACGGTCTTGTGACGTCACCGAACCGCAGAATGCAGCTCTGCGCTCTCATCTCGAGCAACGCACTTCCAGTCACTTGTAAAATTATCCTTTATTCCATTATCTGCTTGCCAGGTACCACATATGAAGAACCACAAGTCAATAATTCATTTGAGATAAACAATGGTCTATAGCCTGATTTCGTCTTCGCAATTTTTGTCATTAAATTTCCTGGAAAATTTCAATTTGGTGTTCTTAATTTTTCACTCGCAACTTGACAATTCCATTTCAACGAACGGATTGGCAGGCTGTGTAAGAGTGAGTTTTTTGTTTCTGAGAGACAGGAATTTACAGAAAAAATCTAAGAAGAGCTGCCCGATGTAAGGCATGGGTGAAAGTAAGACATTTTCAGAGATATAGTTTTTTTGCACAAAGAAAGAATTGCGAAATCCATGTCTCTAGCTTTGAAAATACTGGACTAAAAAATATTTTAGGCAGTCGAAAAAATTGACATGAGCTGTGAGTCTGTGCTTGCCAAGAAATCGTGGTAACATTGAGTCAGGCGCGGACCGTTGGAAGAATGCAAGTTGCCGGCATGCGGTGGCAGCCTCTAGAAGCGGAGGGATGGGGCAAGGCCGCTACGTGCGATACACGGGCCCGAATGCACCCAGTATCACGAGCTGAATTTCGATCAATTATTCAGTCACTCTCAATGAATTACTGCTTGAATAAATGTTTACTGTGTCCGAATGCTGGAAAATAAACCATTATAAAATAATTGCGCCTGCTCGCACTGGCGATAACATACTTGTAAAAATGAACAGTATTACGTAGAAAGTTGAATGAACATATTTGAGGACATTGAACGCTTAGTGCATAGTTTTTGCCAACGGATATCATTCGCGTCATTCAGTTCATTCACGGTTCACCTGGCAAATTGTAACTTAAGAGGCATACGAATTAAGCGACAAAATAGACTGGTTAAACAGATAAATACGTTAGTTGTTTTCAGATGACTGCGTTGACTGGTTAAAGTTAAACAGATCAATTGGACACTATAGGCCTGGAAGCTTGTGTTTATAACACACTAAAGAGAGCACAAACAACGCATAGGCCTATCACGCGTGCAATGAGCGTTTGCTGTTCGTTTAGGGTTGTGATAACTCAGCTCCGTAGATATGTGGAACTTGCGACTGTTCCCAGCGGGTTTTGAGATGACATCGCACTAATATTGATATTATCATCAATTAAGAATCTGTTTTATTGTATATTTCTATGCTTTTTATTTGTCAATAGCTTCATATTTTTTAATATATAAAACTTTGTTTGATCCGTAACACTGCAAACTCTACATGTGCAGACGAGATATTAATAATAATCACCGATATCCTTACTATACTGACAAACTCAGACCCTTAGAACCTAAAAAAATATAACTCGGTACTAACTGTAGTGAGTGACAGAGAGCGCATTTTCTCGTCAACGAAAATGAGAAGTCACGGACGGACAGACAGACAGACGAACGGACATGGCGAACACAATAGCGCCTTTTTTCCATAAATGAGAAAATGCGCTAAAAATACGTGGAACTGCGTGTTCTCATGTTTTGAAAAAGGCCGAGCTCACAGCAAAATCAATACGATCTATATATGGCTTAAAACCAATTAGCGTTATTTTTCACTTTTTGCTTCGATGGTGTAATTGATTTAGGACAAGATGTTCATGTTTGCATAAACTGTCGATATAACAAAACATAGGGTTGGCACTCGCGATGTGGGAGAGATTCGTCTTATCAAAAATGGTTTAGTCAAGCATTATTCTGAATATGAAATTAATGGAGCAGGTATAATCATGAAATAGCTTTATAAAATTATCACACCTTCTTTTTTTTATATCTATTCATCTACAAATCTTTCATAGTACAAACATCAAATTCTAAGCATAAATCAAAAAATTTAGAAGTTGGATAGTTTACAGAAATTCTTTGATCCAAATGCAAGGACATGGTTATGATAACGATATCGTAACTTACTAACTCTGATAAGTAAGATTTGAACCTCGAGTATAAAAGTTACCTCAATTTTCTCATAGAGTTTTACTTAAATATTTTTTTTGCTGTTGTTTCCAATCCCCCCTATCCATTCTTCCACCTTTCTCCTCGATTCAACCCATCTCTTTGGGGTCCCAAACTGGCTTCAGTTCAGTGTTCATCATGTATGCTAAGGGAAAGGGTACGTCCGTTCCGTCGGACGCTCAGGCCCGGGAAAAGTAAGTTGTTGTGATAGTACATCTTTATATTGAAGTGATGAAAGTGTAAATGTAATCAGTGTGTAATGTGTAGCCATTGAAATAAGTGTGATGGTCTGAATTATTGCAAAGTGTATCAGTGAAACGCGGTGTTGATGTGCTGAGCTGTGCTCAAAAGCCTTCTGAAAAACGCCGTTCACGCGTCACAACGCTGCCGTAGCTTCATCTAGATAGATAACTACAGCAGTCCAGCCCAACGAAAGCTAGGTTTAAATATGATTCCCGTTGCATGATGATGTCCTTTTTATTTTAACTACCTTTAATTAGAGTTATCTGTTCTTTATGCGTGACAAGCACGATAATGACGGTCCTGCGCTCTAATGGAATAAATCTTGGTGACAAAAGTGAACTCGAATAATTTATTGATGTGTATTTATTTCACTTGCACATGCAAAAAAAAAAAACTTTTAATTTTATTAGCCTACCTATATGATTTCATTGAAGGTTCTAGTGTTAATGAGGTTATCATATTGGCATCTTCTCATTCTTCTGTAAGTGCCGATTGCTGATAACTTTGCAGTTTGCCACAGTACTTGGCCACTTGAGTCACCAACCTACTATAGAAACGATCTATTTTGTAAAAAACTGAATTACCTACATTCATAGCTTGATTGAAACAGCTTTATTAGTTTATACCCTGTACCATCAATGCTGATAACAATCATAACATCAACAGCAGCAATAGTGTTAAAGCAGAGAGTATTTTAGACTCTTCCTCTAGTTCATTATTGAGTCTTACTCTTGTACCGTAAAATGGGGTAACTTAGACCGGCGGGGTAACTTAGACCACTTTTTGTTTTTTTAACAAAAACCCCCACAACTCAAAAACTATTTGACATAGAAAAATTTTGTCAATGGGCATTAAAGGCCTAATAATGAGGCTACATAACGCAATAGAAAGATTTGAAAAGTTTGCATATCTAATAGGTTAAAAAATTAAAAACCCATGAAAAAGAGCTATTAGGGTAAACGCGGTATATTCCGACATCGTAGGTAATTCCGTCACTTCTCTAGTTTTTCCTTTATATTAAGCTTTGTTTTAGTTCCATGCGTTCATTGATGGTTGAAATGGTGACGTCATACATTTGCGTGTCGAAATACTGCAAAAACACTAGGTCTTGGCCATCTAGCGGGAACTTTTTTTGAAATTACATAAAGACTATGAGAGGCAGGAGCCAGCAATTTATGGTGAGTGAAGCTAGAGTCTAGACCTGTATTTTGCATGTTTCAATTCAAGTTTAATTTAGCTAGTAAAAAAATGGCATCATTAATAAAAAAAAAAGTGGTCTAAGTTACCCCATTTTATGGTACCTATTTAGAATAGACCAGTGAAGTATCATGGAGACCAGACCAAAATTTTCATAAAAAAGATATTGGGTCAAATCTTCAATAGATACCGTAAAATGGGGTAACTTTGACCACTTTTTTTTTCTTAATGATGCCATTTTTTTACTAGATATGTTAAACTTAAATTGAAATATGCAAAATTCATATCTATACTATAGCTTCAATCACCATAAATTGCTGGCTCCTGCCTCTCATAGTTTTGATGTAATTTCAAAAAAAGTGATGGTCTTTGCTACCCCAGCTCTTGGGGTTTCTTTGACCGGGTGGTAAAATCAATTTTATTTTTTGATAAAATAACTCCAGGTTGTGATGCATTGTAGTAGAACTCTTCTAGTTACATATGCAAAAAACAAATTTTAGGAAAGTGTCATAGTTTGCAAATGGGGGGCACCGCCCCCAAATGGGCAAAATGTGACCATCTAATGGCAGCTGTGATGGGGTAACATTGACCTGTTTGGAAATTAAGTTAAAATTACCATATATAAGACTCTGTAGAGTCTGAAACATAAAGGAAAAACAATAATAGGTGTATCAAACATAAAATATGTTATATAGGTACCTATGGTAATTTTAACTTAATTTCCAAGCCGGTCAATGTTACCCCGTCACGGCCACCATTAGGTGGTCAAAGTTACCCCATTGGGGGGTGGCGCCCCCCATTTGCAAACTATGACACTTTTATAAAATTTGTCTTTTGCACATGTAACTAGAAGAGTTCTACTACAATGCATCAAAACCTGGAGTTATTTTACCAAGAAATAAAAAAATTGGAGAGGGTTCTCTGACAGGCTTTAAATAATAGCCCTTTTTCGTGGGTCACATTTTAAATTTTTTAACCTATTAGATTTGCAAACTTTTTAAATCTTTCTATTGTGTTACGTAGCCTCAGTATTAGGCCTTTAATGGCCATTGACTAAATTTTTCTATGTCAAATCGTTTTTGAGTTTTGGGGGTTTTTGTTAAAAAAAAACAAAAGTGGTCAAAGTTACCCCACCGGTCAAAGTAACCCCATTTTACGGTATAGGCATAGAGGTTAAAATGGAAGTGATTCTAAAAAATCAGATTTAAACAATTCCAGCAGCAGTGCAGCACTAAAGTAAAGTTCCTGCCTAACATAGGAACAATCTATTTTCAAGCTAAACAATCTAATGCCAGCCTTCAATAGAAACAACCTATTTTATAAACAAAACTGGGCCATATCATTCTAACTCAATTGAAACGGTTTTTTAGTCATTATGCGGCAATAAATTCCAAAAAATTCTAGTTTTTACCAGTATTTTATGGTATTTAGTAACAAGTGGAAAGATATGTGCAGTGATTAGGAAAAATATTCATTCTTATCTGGGTTTGGTTTATCTTTATTGAATTTCTTCCTGACTATGCAAGATAAACAAACTCTTATAACAAACAATCCAAAAATCTGTGTTTCTTCAGGTTTTATATTGTTATTTTTTCTAATATTTAGTACTTATCATTTGCCAGGTAGTTTGCCGAGTGGCTTACTTTAGCGATGCATATAATTAATTTATAATTCTCAGCTGACCAGTGACAATTCAGCACAGGAGGATAGAAATGATAATGAATATACCTCAACGCTTCCTATATTATAGAAAATCATCCTATTACAGGGCTTGGACACTGTGGGTAGTACTTAATACATAGTATGGAGTACAGTAGGTCTAGCAAGCACAGACCCAAGTATCCAACATAAAACAATAGCTAGTATACAATAATAATTAATCTGACCCTGACACAGACCTAATATTCAGACACAACTCACGATGCAAATAACAGCACTGCCTAGTTCAAATCCTAAAATAGGTAACGGTATGTGCAGTTTCTAGTGAGAGGCAACTTGTGCAGCATTGAGGGTAGTTATCATGTATTTATCAAATCCAACAAATTGTAGTTCTGATGCCTTATATTGCTTTCAGTGATGAATGGCACATTATGTCCAGTTTCTGCTTAAAGTCACCCTAGGTTTCATTGATGGTAGAAGAGAATTCTGAGGTTAGTGTGTGAACAGATTTGCTTGACATTCTGAATAACTGATTTTCCTTGTATGTGAGACATGTCACATTGTAAAAAAGTCACACATTAATTAGAAACCATGTTCAGCTCAAGGATTTCATTTCATCAATATTCTACTATGAATACAACTTACTGTTAAACTTTTCTCTCAATTAGAAAACAACATTATACACAATAATAAGAAATGATCTATTCCTTCTAAAATGCATTGTATTGGATATAGTATTTATGGGAATTAGATTAGCTCAGAACAACACATGATAAATATGAATATATATGTAATTCACTCATTTTTGTTGTATATTTTGTAATAAATAATATATATGTTTGATATAGTATAATATATATATATATATATATACTTAATTTGGCAAAAAAAGCAGGCAAAATAGGAAATATAATCCCCATAACCATGACATGAAATTTTGTATGAAGGAGATACCTAGTGGTTGCTTTTTATTTCACTTATTTGTAAAGTAATTATATGTGTTAAATGACTAAAAAGCTTACTCAGTTTGAATGCGCTAAATTGAAGTGAAGTTTTTATAAGATGGTATTATTTGTAGGTAGCTGCTATATGTGGATTATTACCAATCTATTCTGCATCACTTGTAAAGCATTCTAGTCTATATCAATCCTTGACCAATGCCCATTTTGATTGCAATCGATTGTATTGTCTTGATAGAATTTGGAACAGTGTAATTGAGCAGGCAATGAACTGGTCACTCCAACGTATGTTATACACTTCTTTACAATCTGGTGCGTGTGGATAATTGCACCTGTTTCTGGGGCCCTCTTGTCTTTTTTGTTAGAAAAATGGAGTGAAACTGCACAGTTATACGGGCAATATCAGAACATTTCTCTCAAAAGCATGTAGAATTTCCATTCAACCACAATTTTGGGGAAAATCTGACCTCTAATCCATAGATGTAGCATGTTATATATATCTATGTAATATAGGTTAATGGTGGTAGTGGCTTCAACCTCTTGAAGATATTGCTTTGCCCAAAGCCTCATTTTTGGCTTTTTTGCCTTGCAAATAAAATTTAATGCATTCAGGAGCCAAGAGCTGATTTTAAAATAATGCACGTTTTGAAACCTGTTTGTATAACCAATCAAGATATAAAGACTGGCATTGTTCAAGACTTGACCCATACATTTTCTGGTCAACCATTGAGTAATGTTGGCAATACCTCATTAATGAAGGCAAATTTACAATGTAAAGTCATGCCATTCAGCTGGGAGAAGGTGATGAAAGCTTTGCATGACTGTAGAGAAAAATAGTGCAACTTCCATGTAACTTTTCACTAGGTATCTTGTCCAATGATGTAGTATCAGGCCACTTCAGGCAAGTGTTTTTCATTACTCCAATCATAGTGAAAATTGACAAACCTAAGAACTTTTTAGAATCAGTTCATTTGAATTTCCTCATTTGCTCAAGATTTAAATCAATATCTTGTGTATGTTGTAATGTATGATAATGCTAGACGATGGCATCCACAATACTTTTGCCAGTCTAGCTACGTACTCTACTTATAGGACTTGAAATTGAACTTGAGGATGAGTCTAAAAAAAGTCTCTGC